ACGTTTAGCGTATTCTTTCGATTGAAGAGTGAAAGTGATAGCGCTATGATCAGATATTGTGGGGTTGGTGATGTTAGCATCAATGACAGACATCAACAATTCTTTCAACACAAGCCAATAATCTAAGCGGCATTGCACTTTCAAGGAATTGTTACGCCATGTAAATTGTGTTTTGTTGGTATGTTGATTTCTCCAAATGTCATGAAGTTTAAAACGCCGGGTTAAGCCTTCAATCTCGTCAATGACTTTTTGTTTTTTCTGAACAGTAGCACCACCCATTTTATCTGTAGGTGTTAATGGGCAATTCATGTCACCTCCCAAGATGATTTGTGCATCTGCAAATGGTAGGAGAATGCTATCAAGATTGCGAAAGAAAGCTATCTGGGCGGTAGAGTCATTTGGCGCGTAAATGTTGCTAAACAAGAAGGAAGATTCTAGCACGTTGGCTTTTAATAGCAAGTATCGTCCATTCTTATCAGCGAAGATGCTTTCTGTTTCGAAATCCAGACTCGGTTTAAATAATATCATCACACCTTTTGAATGTGTTGTTCCATGACTGTAATAAATTTTCCCTCCCCATTCTGCTTTCCATATTTCTTCGACACTTTTGGAAGAGTAAGTTTCTTGTAAGTAAACAACGTCGAATTTTTGATTGTGGAGCCATCTAAACACCCGCCGTCTCTTTCTAGCTTGATTTAAACCTCTTACGTTTAGAGAACAAAAGGAGAGTCTAAACGGAGCAGCTGTGAATTAGCAGCATAGAATATTCTATCGGTTTCGTTGAGGAAGATATTGAAAAACTTTTCGAATGTGAGCAATTTTGAATTGAAAGTGTACTTAATGTAAATTAAATAATAAACATTAGTAATCAGCCTTAACGCAAGCTGAAGGAGTACAAGACTAAGCTGTAGGGAGATAAATCTAAGTATATCAAAATAGATTCTAAACATGTAAATAGAAACGGCTATACAGAAACGCTAAGACACAAAACGCACAGTTACTAGAGCACAAATTGCTCAAAGTAGGGAAACCTCTTCTTACACCTAAACGGGTTCCCTATGAACAGTTTAATGCTAAATAAGTAGGCGCTATGAGCGAAGCAACTGTTGGGAGCGCGAAAGGAATCAATTATTTACAACAACTGACTAATCATGTACCATAACTTTACCGTACAGAGGAAGATCTTTAGTTTCTTTTCCACGATAAACTTGCGCATCAATAATAAGTTTGTCGACATTAAAGAAAGCTTTTTTCTTCTGGGCTTTAGCAGCTTTCAACACTGGGTAAAGTTTCTTGTGCATATCGGCAATTTCTTTTGGGAAGTCACTGGCAACACCGATCTTTGAGCCTTTTGGTAAGCTTCTAGCGTATGAAAAAATTTGCTCCTTGTCTTGATAAAAGCTGGCTTTGGCGATTATTGGGCGCGGACTCTTCGGAATTATAAGAAGGAAAAACCCCTAGTTTAAAGCCAAAACTAGAACAAGTCAATGAAATGGCAAGTCGTTCAGTAAATATGTCCTTGGGACTTTTCTGCCCAGCGATATGATTGTTTCCACGAAGGAAGTTTATTCCTACAAAACACCTGCGTCCTTCGGGTCCATTCCCAGTTCAGTGAACATGAATGACGTGTCTTTTTCTAAACTGAGCATGGGAATGTTACGTTTGGTCTAAAATTCTACATCTCGCCATTCATCGTCAGTTTATTCATTTCCAAACTATTTACGGATAACAGTTTTTTGGAAAAATCATAAACGATAGCTTTTTTTAAAATCATGCACAGATGGCTTTTGCTAGGCACTAAAAATAAATACCCTCGACTCTAAAAATGCTCAACACCGCCCATCCTTTTCTTGCGGTCTCCATTATGTAAGGGCCTTCACTGGGTGACCAATGCTAAACAACGCCGGGAACAGCTTTGTAAATTTAACCTGATGGACTGTATCTTCAGTTTACTGCAGTTGATTTACTTTTGACTAATTTCAAACAAAAACTATAATCCTCTGATACGATATCAGTGATTTGGCAAAGACTGCCTTCTTATCTTTAATCCATTTTACAAGTGCGCTAGGATCAAAGATCGCTTTTTCAAGCAAATGTCAACAGAAAGAATGATCTAGCAGGTGTACGGTTCATTACCTCACGATTGGAAAAAGCGTCAAAATGTCGAGATTTCACGGTTCTATAACTCGTGCAGAAAATTGACCATTGATTAGAGCTAACAAGCAGCATAACTTTCATTTGACTGCTGGTTGCGTCACAGAGAACAGTACCTCGCAGTTTCTCTGGTAAGTACGCTGCTTCCTTTTCAGTTACATAATCAACTACTTCTATTTTCTAAAGTGTATCTCAGTGTTGGTGGCTGAAGCAGCAGTCGGTTAATTGGTGATTAGGCTAGTGCTCTGAGCGCGTCTTCCACATAGCCATAGGGAAAGTTTGAGTTTTCGTTCCCAGAAGCTCATATGTAAGTTGTGTTTGCGTTTGCGTTTGCGTTTGCTGATGATTCTCGTCTCTGCAAGCGATTGTCTACAGCATAAGTTGGGGCTAACTGCTTGAACGGCAGAAATCTTAATGTGAGAACAGTTGAGGTTCAGCTTGATTCTGTAGCCGTTCTGTGAACCGATGAAAACTAATGTGAGAAAGATAGACAACTTGATTCTGTTTTTAAACAACGGCATAAAGATCGAACTGTTTTTATCGAATATAGGAAAGCGACTTCGCCTTACAACTCACTTATCCAACTAATACTTGACTACGGGGGTTATTATCTTGGGGACATGAAGCAAACCGAAGCCGCACGTCTAAGACGTAATCAATTTACGGAAACGATGCGACAGAGTAATCCTAGACAAAAAATGAGACACCCCCTTGGGGCCTTTATTTAGAGACCTTAACGTCATGCCATGATTTGATAAAAGACAAGAACGCGCTTACAGCGGATTCAGTCTCGCTTGCTTGGAGATTAGATCTAGAAAGCTTAGGATAACTGTATAGGAATATTTTTATTCATAAAAGTGGCCCTGTCCTTTTGGCCGGTATTACCGGAGAAAATGGTACCGTCCAGCGGGACATCCTGAGTTTTAGCAACATTTGTTAGGAGGCATATCATATCTGGGTTTTTTATTGCTAAACGGTCATTCTTTAGGTTTCCAAAAAGCCAGGGTAACTAAACAGGAGTGTTTTTTTTTCGTAAAAAATGCCTTGTCCTTTTGGCCTGTATTATCTAAGGAAATAGTACCGCCTAGCAAGACATCCTAAACTATGTCAGCAGTTGCTTGCATGTATTACTACATGACATGCAGCTTGTTATTGTTACATTGTAATACACACCTTGTCCTCTGAAGGCTTTTTCCTACCAGCTGGGGACAGCTGAACAAAGGTAGTTTAATTCATTCCTTGTTGTTGTAATCACCTAAGAATGTCCACCCAGGGGGACACTCCTTATAGGGAGTACTCAGGTATAACAGTGATGGGGAAGTGCAAGACCCTTTTTCTGGTTTGACATTTGAAATCCAAGGATAACCAAACAGGAGTGGTTTTTATTCTTAAAAATTGCCTAGCCCTTTTGAATGGTATAAGCTAAGAAAATAGTACCACCAAGCAGGACGTCCTAAATTAGCTCAGCAAGCTTGTGTTTAATTTTTCATGGTTTATCTCATTTGAAAAATGTTTTGAAAGTTAGTTTTTTATCTCAGGTAATTTTTGTTTTTCTTTTGTTTTGGAGTATGGTAATGAATGCTAATGACGTTGAAACAAATGGAAAACAAAAAAAATTACCTGTTAGATTTCTTGTGTAACTTGATTATTAAGGAGCACGATGAGTTAGATTTCTTTGTGTCGAACTTGATTATTTAAGGAGCACGATGAAACAGCGACAGATCAGACGTTGAAACTAGAAAATTTTCAGGAAAAAGGCAACTTTGAAGAATAAAGACTTTATCACTTTAGTTGTTTATCTTTTTCGATCGATGGGTCGTTTTAAAAGTTAGGTTTCGGAAAGCGAAAATAGTCCGAAATTTGTTCCAAAAAGGTCTTATTTTGGTGCAAAAGCGCCAAATTTAGCGCGTTTCAAAAAAGATTTAGAAAAAAAATTAAAAATTTCTAAAACAATAACTGAAATCCCAAAGGCTTAGTATTGTTCTTTCTTTTGTTTTCTTTAAACAATGAATGTATGCCTAATTAATGTATGGGGTTATACGGAAATCTTGCCGGAAAATTGCACAACAGCTGGGTTTAACTTTTACTTTGAAAGTCAACGATATGAACAAGATAATCTGTAAAAGTTATGGCAATACAAGAGAAAGATTTCTGATCGATGGTTCGCATGTGCACTTGAACTGGAGACTGTCTAGTTTTTGTTTTGTTTTCTGATCAAAATTAATCAAGTTGTGATATAGTTTTTAAACAAGGAAGGGCTATAAATAGGTGGAGGTTGATGGTGCAAAGGCGGCAAAACACCGGCAAAATGGGACGGGACATAGGATGAAAATTAGGATGCAATCGTTCAGATCCTGATTGATAGTAGGTTTAATAATGCTTTAGGAATTTAAGCTTATTTCAAATTGGTCATGAGAGCACGTGACAAATACACACTAAAGACTAGCAAGTAAATGAGGCAAAAAATATTGTGAAGTCCTCAAAACTATTCTTATTTCTAAACTTTAAGGCTTATTAGTAAATTCTTTTTTTGTTTTTGTTTTTGTTTTTGTTTTTTTTTTACAACAACACTTTATTTCATATTTATATACAAAGGAAAAATTACAAAAATTGTAGAAAAATGTTAGTAAATTCTTGGATTTTAGCTTTGATTTCACAAGAATTTTACCTAGTAGTTTACTCTAACAGTCTGCATACCTGGGTGTACATAAGTGCAGTCTGCATAAGTTACACGCCAGTTTTGAATGAGCATTTACATGTAGGTCAAACAAACAGCAAAGGTTTAGCTATGAGTAGTATTATTTTAAGACTAAGCGTGAACATCATTTAGGTTGTGTCATTTCACCATGTTATCAAGTCTGGATGCAGTGCACATCTCGGCTGTGTTAGAGGACTGTGTAGATCAGTTGGCAATCCTTGGTCATATTATGCCAAACTCCCTAGAGGGGAGGCCTGAAGCTGCACAGATTGTGGACGATGAGTTGGGACAAATTCTACAAGACCAAAGGTTCCTTGAGTCTAGATATGAAATGGTAAGATGAATGGTACACTCAAGTTGATTCTGCTGTGGAAAAAATTCTTCTACTTTCCTTTCAAGATTTTGGGATAAAATCAGAATTGTTCAGTAAATTTTGTGAGTGGAAACTATTGTCACCATATCATACACTTTTTGGAACTAAAAATGCCAGATTTGAATAAAATAAAAAAAAATAATAATATTGTACATGATCCATATGGTATGCATATATGAGATATTAGAGAGTTTTAGATCCGAGTTTACCGCGAACCTCTAACCGCGGTTTGCGGTTACCCGTTTGCGGTTCGACGTTCAAACATAATTCGATTTAGATTGGCGGTGGATTAAACAAGTGGATTCTGGTTTATTATTCCATTTAGAAATAGAAGAAAAATTAATCAGTGAAAATAAAAGAAATTTACGGCAACACTGGGTTATCTAGCAGCAAAGAGCTGTAAATTCTTACATTAGTTCTTCTTGCAATTTTACGCCCGCCATTTTGAATCCGCAGCCATGAATGGCACTTGTTTTCAAGATCCAATAGGATTTATCAAATTTAGCATTTCGCCCGAATTTGTGCCTCTGTTAATGTATAAAGACTTGCTCCACAAGATTTTTGTATCATTACGTGGGATGAAACAATAATTATACGCTAAAAGCTTTCAGGTAAATGACATACGTGAAAACCCAGCTCCCCACGTTGAAAACGCACGTTGTAAACTTCAAACGTGACGCGAAAGACTTGTCACGTGACCTCCAGCGGTTAGAGGTTCGCGGTAAACTCGGATCTAAAACTCTCTATTATAAATTTTCTTCCTTATTGTCTTATTTCCCTTTCAACTTCTTGCCGTTCTGCTGAAGTCCTTCGTGAGGTCCTGTGATTCATGTATTTCTAGTAATTAGTTACTTTTTAACATTAATTTTTTATAATGTGAGACGTATATTTTTATTGTAGCTAATGGCAAATGAAGATGATCCCAGTTTTACTAACAAGAGTCAGTTAAAGGTGGTGGATGATGGACAGATACAGTCTGTAGCTAAATCACTACGAGAGAGTACAAATGGTACGATTGTTGGTAGCTGTAATACCAAAGCAGTGGATAGTATTTTCTTTGTGTTCTGGCTGACAGCTCTATTCATTTTGACTGATTACATGCCATTCACCTGAAACCTCAATCTTCCTCATTCTATCACCATGTTCAGCTGAATTTTATAGATTCCCTGCTCACAAACACGCGTATAAAATATTCTCTCCCTTAAACAGTTGGAACTCCTAAAATGCAGCCAGTACGTTACCAAATAATGCAACCAATTATTATAATATCGTAGTACCCCTAAACTTGCTAATTAGACTGTTTTCTTCTTTCTTTAATACCGGAACAGCCCTTAACAGAAGTTTCAGACAAAATCCATTGACAAGTGACAGTCTCTCAAAAATTCAAGCAGACAGGTACTGAACATATATTTTCCAGTTATTTAAAACAGTGAAAAAAGGCCCCAAGTGACTCAGTATCTAATACCAAATTCTACTTTTGATTATACAAGGTAACTGGAAGGAGAATCTAGCATTTTTATCAGAAGGCAATAGGGCTTTAATGCAGGCACCCCTTTCTACATTATTTAATGTATCAGTTTAAGTTTTAAGAAAAAAGGGGTATCGACAAACTTTTTGATTCCCCAGCCTAACTTTTTCATTTGCTCAAGGTAATAAGACTAAATAGACTGACCGGAAAGTTTCACGGCAATTAGAGCTGAAGTATGTTCCACCAAATCACAAACTTTTTAAGAACTAGTATAAATTGTTGCAAATACACCTTTCAGGGGCACCCAACGAGAATATAGTTCAAAACCACTTAAACATAGCACTGTTAAACGTATTTTAGTATTTAAACGGTAGATATAGGCATATTTTTATCCCCTAAAAATTTTTCATCTGTTCGGATTTCCTAGCTGAAAGTCTAGTGATCCGAAAATTATAGGGATCAAAACTTACCTTTTCGAAAATTTCAGCCAGAAAAAAGGCTCCCGAAAATTCTAGGTGACCTTTTTAGGGTAAAAATCCGTTAAAAATGGGCAATTATACCATTTTTTAGACGTCCGAAAATCCTAGGAGAGGCAGGCAAGCAAGAAATTTTACAACAAATCTTCCGAAAATTCTAGATCTAAAATCGTCTTCCGAACAGATATTCTTCCGAAAATTGTCGTTGGGTGCCCCTGACCTTTGGGTTTGTTGTAAATATTAGGTGAAAGCAATTTACATGTAGGTTACTTTTATAAAACTATAATTTAACCTGCACAGAAAATTTTTTCAAGACATAATGGAAGAAACCTTGGATGAAGTTGTCTCTAGCAAATCATTTGATGCCCTTCTCAGAGCTGTTAATATAGAAAAGGAAAAGAAAGCTGGTCTTCAACAAACCATACTCAAGTAAGTTGATATTGATGTTTTATAAATGGCAAAATTTGGTTGATTGTGAATAATTTGTATTGTAAATTGTAATTTGTTTACCCACGGAGCACTAAGGAGTTCATAAGAACTCGTTGAAACGTGTCCATGTGTTCCAGATCGAATTGGAATTTGAAAGTGTTGGTTTTGAAGGAGAGGGGAAAATTCAGCAGTGTACCCGGAGAAAAACCTCTCGGAGCAAGGGAGAGTACCAACAACAAACTCAACCCACATATGGCGTCGACACCAGGATTTGAACTTGGGCCACATTCGTGGGAGGCAAGTGCTCTCACCACTGCGCCACCTTTGCTCCCCCAATGCCACTGTTTTAGATTATCTGACAATAATATTATTTTACTTTGGTGGGAGGACACAACTGCCCCAAGTAGGCACTGGGACAGGTACCACTCCACCCTCTGCACTTTTTGAGTTCAAGTTATTAGAGACCTTTAGATTCTAAGATGAGTATGACTACGAGTACGAGATTTTTTCAATACTAAGTAGTGCACGGGCGCGAGCCTTCGTCATTCTACAACGAGTTTTAGCGAGAAGGTCAAAGTGGCGGATACAAGTTATCAAATGTTAGAAGTTTAATCATTTTGCGATTGGGAGAGGGTGTAACCTCCTTCACTAAAGGTAACACTGTGGTAGCTATTGAAAACTGGTAAAATGAAGCTTTCCGGGTAGTCTATATTTTGAGAGTACGCGAAAAAAAATTAAGTCAAATCTCGTTCCCGTAGTCGTCCTTGTCCTCTAATCTGAAGGTCTCTATTATTGCAGATGAGAAGAGGAGCCCTCAATCCTAATTTCTAGGTTGCTATGATAAATGCACGGCAAGACTAGTATATAGCCAGCTTTGGTTGGACTTCCACTAAGAATGAATGAGAATGCACAGATTGCAAGCTGATCATGCTTGTTTGGACCTTCTATCTCTTGTAATCTGATTGCCCCTGTTTTGACCATCTATCGTGTGAAACTTACACAAAGCACAGAGTTGGAGCAAAGAGGTTTTGACATTCGATCGTTGTCGTCAGCATTCTCGGTTATTACAAGGTTTTATTATTGAGTGGTAATGGGGAAAATACAATCATGTGATTTGTAAGATGGTGAAAATATTTTTCTCTACAAGCATTATTCAAAGAAGAAGAGTGGGCAGTGCTCTTGCTTACTATAAAGTTCATTTGTATGGACATAATTTTCATTGTGTCCTTTATGTAAATAGGGAGGAAGAGAGTCGCAGACTTGTGAAGAGTCTACAAAGACAACTTATTGAAGTAAAAAGAGAAAAAGAGAGTGAAATTCAGGTAAGTCAAGTTTAATTACAATATTACACACCAAATGTACATTTACACTACTACATTCAAAACTAATGAAATTTATGTAATAAATATTAAATTAAATAATAAAAACCAAAAAATAAATTAAATAGAATAAGTGAAGTAACTAATAATTCCTAGCAAAGTGAGGCTCAAAGGACCGAGTTAATGCGAGGTAAATAAATTTTTTGGAAACTTGTGTCATGTGTGGATGTGACTCCTGATCAAACCACCCACCAGAATAAAAAACTGGCAAATGCCAGCTGTTTTCAGTTCAGATGATTGCATCATTGAGCTAGTAGCAACACTGAGCTGGTAACCTGCACAGCACGCAGGAGCAAAATTTGTTTTGGTCAGTTCTTATGGAGGGTGCAGGGAAAACGCACGTGGGCAAGTCCTCGAAATTACTCCCCTTGCCCCGAAAAAACTGGCGCCTGCTACTCAGGCTATTGAGCTGGTTGCCCTATCTTTTTATCATTTGTTGTCTCATTTGAGTGGATGGTGGTGAATTCACATTGCGCCTGTTTGGAAACAGGTTGGTGACAAATAAATCTCGGTGGTGTGGTCTGTCTGTCTTCAGTGAGTTGTATAACAAAAAGGGAATGGTGAGTGATATGAGCCGACAGTAGTTTGTACCAGCTGTAATGGTGTTCCCTCCATTTCCTAGGCAGTGAAGGAAGGCTTAGGCCAAATGTCAAAATTCACATGTGGTGGACCTAATGCTATAAGTGCGAAAACCTTACCCTGCAAGCAAGCTGTCCATTTGGTGGAATTACGAGAACACGTGAGAGCAGCAAGCAAAAAGGAAACACCCCTCACGGCTTGCTTCGCTTGCCCAAATAAGAGAGCCTGCTTGCAGACTAGAAAAATTGAAAAAAAATAGATTTTGCTCATAAGCATGAAGTTTGTCACATGTTATGTTTGATGTTTGATCCAGTAACAAGTAGAATTAAGACATTAAAAGCACAGGTGGCCCAAGCTGGAAATATGACCTTGACTCCACTTAAGTAAGGTTATCCGATTTTTATCAAAATCCTTTCATATCCGTAGGCTACAGAAACAATCGCTTTTTCACCATGCAAATCCTTATATTTCAAATGTAATGAATGAATGAATGAATGAATAATTTATTTCTGTAGCGCATTTTCCTAACACCCAAATGCACTTTACAGTGTCAAACATATTATAATCTATACACTAAACTAGGGGTACCTTCCGGCAAGTGCCAACGAGGCGAATTCGATAACCTTTTGTGGGATGTGCCTAATGGTCCTTCGTGAATCGGTGGACAATTTTAGGGGTTTAAATTGATTTGTCTATTATTAATAAAGCCAAAATAAGAATTAATACAGGAGATTGTAAAGGGACTGTAAAAGGGTGGGGTGGTACGCCCTTATATTGCCTATACGGAAATGTGGCGCTGGACAGGGTATGGTTTTTGACCTCTCCGTCCCCTATTGTGTTTTTACTCTACAGTAATTGCCAATAAATTCATAAATAGCTTTAAACACGACGGCGCTTTTTTCGTTTATCCTAAACGGAGTATATAATTGGCGTTGTTGACCTAAGAGGGTATGTATTTAAGGATATTTTTGTCCTTAACAGGGCCAGGGTTTCAAACCTCGGCGGTTGACCTATACCTAAATCTTGGTTGAGTAACCCCCTGAGGGGTTTGAAACAACAACTTTGGTACATTCTAGGTTAACCTGGTCACAGAAGCTTAAAGCGTCTTTGGTAGCAAATCTTCACTGCAAATTTCATTTTATTTAAACAATAAACGTTAGGCAATCAATCCTTGAAAATTGAACTTGAACAAGTTAAAAACAAGCTGTGTCTACTGTCTACACTTCAGCAGTGCTTTGTTTGAAATTATTGAAATCAATGTATTAAGTGCCTATATGGTTGTTTTCTTTCATGGTATGAAACAACAAGTACAACAATTGAATTTGTACAAACGAATTTTTTTAAATTCGTAGCACGTCTCAGTAATGAATATCAAAGTTTTATAACGTTCTTATAGATAGCAAAAAATGTAGGTAACAAAACTATGAACGCTTTGATTGTATTGGTCTGTTCACGAACTTAAATAACAGTTTCTTTTCCACTTTGTTTCACTAGAGTTCACATGTCATTTTTTGAAATTCTTTAACTTTGTCCACAAAATGGTTGATTTGTTTAGTACCACAGTACTTCCTGTGGAAATTACAAGTTTAGTACTTCTTTGACAAAGTTCCGTTTGGAGTTGTATTTCATTTTGACATCCTTTAGGCTCATAAGGGCATTTTCTATTTCATCTATGGTGCTGCTCATACTGCTGTTGTATTCTTCAGGAGGTTTTCGATTTCATTTGTAAATGCAGTGAGCCACAATTCCGATTCATTGTGTTGAATACACAGCTTGACAGAACCTTCCCGCCTGCAGTTGATGATCCTTTGTCGCAGTTTGCAGTTTTGGCATCTCACTGACTCGCCCGACTCATCCCCAATTCGTTTTTTGCAAAGTTGGCATGCACTAAAAATGCTTAAACTGGCAACATATTTTAGTTTACTTGCAATGATCTCTATTTCTGGATTTGTCAATATTTCTGGGCCCACTAATTTTTTGAGAGTTGTGGTTTCCTCACTGTAAGTTGTATTCCTGTTGGTGCTATGGAATTTTGATCCTTGATAATACCGTAGTGTGAGGTTTTGAAAGTAATAGGCCTTGTTGCTTTTCAGTTGTGCAAATAACGGTTCCCATATGTGGAGTTCCATTGTTCCCGTTTCGTCTTCCAATATGCAGTCTTCTTTGACAGATAAGGCTTGACTGGATTTGGTTTCTATCTTGTTTGGCTCCTGGGCTCCCATTGACAGAGTTGCATGGACGTTGACTTTCTGACTGGGTGCCATTTCTTTCAGTTCTCGTAAAGAGACATTAGACGCTTCCTGTGATGTTGATTCGGAACGTTCTGACTTGACAAAATTTGGTACATAGGAGAATGGTACATCAGCATTTGCACATTGCGAAACATAGGATTGCTGGTTGAAAAGCCAGTCGTTGTCTTCATCATCTGGTGTAAGAAGGTTCTTTAACAAGACGGGAGACTTGGTTTCTTGGAAGTGCTTGATCTTGGGATACTCTTTGCACTTTAGTCGGTTAAATTTGCAGGTGAAAGTCAAACCAATCATGTCTGGACCTTGCAGCGGTTTTGACGGGGGATATTTTTTGGATGTACCCATACTTGTTTACTAAACGAAAGAAAAGCAAACAAATTCAGGATGCATGATCATCAATGCGCTTACAGTGATAGCAACAATAACCCTATTATCATCATTATAGTTAACACAATAACACATGCTATCAATCTTGACATAAAGAAATTCTTAACTTCATCGAATCATGAAACTTTTGCATGTTCAGTTTTGCCCACTTTTATTGGTGAAGCTCTCCACAGTTACTTATTTTAAACTCAGATAAATACATTTCCTGGCTAGAAACTCCATTTTTCAGACTTGTTACTCCTTCACTCATTACACTACTATCTGAATTTTTTTTTCTTGAGCCTGTATGCCCGCATGTACAACTTTTTTCTTTCCTTCACTTCACTAGATGTTTTTGAGACCTTTTTCCTATTTCCTGTTTAGGTCGTTTAATGTTTTCATCTGCATAATATGTATCACTTGAGGAATTAATGCTTTGACTTTTCCGCTTCATTGTAAATTTAATTACTAAATCATTTCTTTGGGTTTTCATTTCTTTTACGTATTTCTAATTTGCCCCTTTCGTTTAAGTCAAGTTCAGAATAAGTTTTAGCTCTATACTTCTGCATGTATGCATTATTTTTTGCCTTGACTTCTGGCTGTTTAGTTATTACATTTGACTCTGTTATCCTTTTTATAACTTGTGACTTTTTGGTCTAACTTCAGTTCTTTCGTACTGCAAGAGTCTTTTGAAACTGATTTGCAAACAACTGGATTTATGGTGAAGCTATTACAGGTCTGATTTGCAGATTCATGTAAATTGATGTCTACAGACTCAGACTTTTGAAATATGGCAAAAAACCAGCCATCCGGATAACTATACAATAGTTCTTGAAAGGAAAGAAACGCCTTACAGAAACACACAAATCATCAATATAGATCCAACCGCTCTCACTTTTTAAGGCAACAGTAAAATGTCTATTTAAATACCTAACAATTCCTTTGAGACAGTATGAAACTCCTAAGGTTTCCATATCATGTGGAAAAAACATTTGAGTTATACAATCAGGTGACAATTCTATCATTAAAAAGGTTGGCAGGCACACAAAGTGTCGAAGTGAAGCAACACTTCCAGAATGATTTTGGCAGTAAACACAAAAAAGTCTATTGATGTTTGGCAGCATAGCTTCCGATACAGAACTTTCAAAACCATTCTGATTTATATGGCGATAGGTAATATACAAGACAAAAACATCTGTGGATTTGGTGATTTCCTGGTTACACTCTGAACAAATGGAATGATTGGTATGTTGAATAAGAAATAATGATTTTAAACCAAACGTTAATTCTCCAAATGTATTGATTTGGAATATGTCACTGAATACAGCATTATCAGACATACCTGTAAAAGAGGCACAGTGCTGTGTCATCCAGGCCCAAATGGGTTCTCGGACTGAATGTAACTGGTTGGAAAGGATTTCACCACTATTTACTTGCACACACGCTGTGTATAACATTTCAAAAAATTCATTACGTTCCACAGACTCAAAAGCATCTTTAAAAATGTAACAGCTTAACTCCATAAAACAATCAATTGCAGATGAGAATTTTCCTGGAAAATCAAGGTAGTAATTCCTGAAATGCATTTGCTCAACGGGGAGGAATGAACGAGGCAATGACTGCGATATTTCTTTACCAAAACGTTCTTGTAAATGTGGTTTGGTTTGGGAAGATTTACGGGAGTTTGAATCCTTTGACAGTGCTGGATTTCCATTGACCAAATGTGCTTCCTTGTTTGTTTGTTATTATGTAAGGATTAAAACTACCATTTGAAGCACACCACTGTAATAGGTGACCGTATATAAGCACGGGCCACAACATCTAATTTTGTGTAATTGTAAATCGTCACTTAAAGAAGAACGCGGAGGTTTAAGGTGACTCGACCCAGTTTTTTTGGGGTGGTACCATCCTACTTTGAAGCTCTCTGGTATCCCCACCTTTACTTTTATCGTAAGTGTAACACATAGAATGGATAACATATAGATCAATCTACAACATGACATAAGCCGCGCTAGTAAGAGACAAACTTACCAAATTCTCTCTTTTAACTTTACAAGGCGTTTTTCAATTCTCGAAACCCGACATCTAAACTTATTCTTTTTGCGATATTGTTCGCCTCCTTCGCCCTCTTCATAATATATAGATTTAGCCAGGGCTAAAAGCGAAGCTCTCAATAATATTTATAGTTTGTTCATATTTATAGTTGTAATATTTACAGTTTATTGTTTGATATTGTATAGTAATGGTAAGCGGCGAAGGCATGCAACGCCGGAGAATGGTGAAAAACAGCAATAGGTCTAATTAGCAAAAAAGCAACTTTGCACGTGCAGCACACTTTTTTGGTACATTTCTTTGCCGTTGTTTTGCACGACTACAACATGAAACTTCCACAAACTTCTTAGGGCCTGTTTACATGGAGGTGGGGAACCCCAGGTAAGTGAGGTAACCCGCTTAGCTGTGGTAACCCGCCTGTCCATATAACCTCTCATTTTAATTTGATTACGTTTACGTGATAAGAGGGGTAACCCGCCAAGGCGGTTAGCCCAGCCGGGGTCAAATTTTGCCATGTAAACTTCAAGGTGGGGTAACCCGCCTAGCCGGGGTCGGATTCGTGATACATCAAATTCTCACAAAATTCACATAATTATTAAAGGTAACAATACAAAGCCACAGCACTGAAGGTTGCAGCAAGAGCAGCAAGTGAGTGTAGAAGAGCAATAATCATCACCAAAACACATGGTTTGCCGTGCTTAGTGACAATTCAATAATCTTGAAAAAGAGCACCCCGGGATGGAGGGGTTGTAAGGTTGCATGTAAAGGAGGGTTAATATTTAACCTCACCTAAACGGGTTATCTCACCTACCTGGGGTCCCCCACCTCCATGTAAACAGGGCCTTAATTACACGTTTTATGGAGGAAATGTCGTACGTGTTCTCGTTCACTTTTTTTCACTGCCGCTCATTTTCACCTTACTTTATTGGTGGCCGCAAGCATTTCTCATTTCATCACCGCCGCTACAAAATTTTCGTTTTTAAATCTCCGTCGCCCTTTTTCTCGCTGAGCTTGGCTGGCCTAGCGCCCGGTTTCTCTTTTTCTCTGTCTTTCTCTTGCTCTATATTCCAAATCTGTGGACATGACAATTTATCTAAGCTTAATACTTTAGGCAACACGGATACAGAAAAAATTTCCGCTTTCCGTTTTCGTCTTTATTGACTCTTTTATTGTCTCTGCTTTACAAGACGCCGGTGGCTATGCGATTTCCCGCCAAAATAACCTCGAGTTGCATTTCGGTTGCCATACCTGTTGATTGAGTTATTTTACATTGGTATGCCTGTGGTGCGGACGGGCGGTCTCTCGGGCTGTCGGTCGGTAGATGTACGGTCACGTGATTACCAAATTTTCTCGGATGGGTAGATTACTTCATTTTCTTACCCATGGTGCTCCGCTGGCGCGCTTCGCGCGCGAGAGCTCCGCTAAAAAAAATTGCCACACAGTCAATGATGACCCATGTCCCCTAAGATTTTTGGCGATCGGAGTAATTGTCACGTGGTTATAATGCCACGCCCCTTTGAGGTCTGAGTCGAAAATCTGCTGTTGCCGGCATTTTTTCTTGAAAATCTCTCGGCTACACATAGTGCGCATTAGTGCCTTGCGCTGAACAGAGTTTCACCAAAATCGCAAAGACCCAATTCGAGAAATTCAGCGGTTTCCAAATTTAGGTCATAATTTATGCGAAAATGGTAAGCAAACTTTATACGGATTATATCTGATAAACTATGAGATTCATCTCTGTATTTTGGGCATCCTTATAACAGATGGGTCCTTGCAAGTCCGCAAAACGCTGTAGGGCCTTGTAAATGCGCGCGATTTCGAGCAAAGCAAACATATAAAATTATAGTTTTCGCTATTTGTTGACGTTTGTCAGCGTTTAAGAGTCAATCTCGCGAAAAAAGCATTTTCTTAAAAATTCGTAGTTTTTTTTCCTTCAAATTTTTTTCAGGGCCACAATTGATTATCTAACTATCCGGACTCTGAATTTCATGGTCATCGAAAAACTGTGACGTTATCTTCTATAAGCCCAAACTTTAGTAAACATTGAAGATTTTTAGCGTTTTGGCTGAGTTTGTGCTTTGGGAGTTGTCTATTGTTTCTAGTCTGTCATGATCCAGCATTCTTGTTCAGCACGCGTGCAATGACCGCGCTTGGCTGACTTCCGAATAATGCAGTATAATGACCTGTTAGGTCATCAACCTTCTCCGATGGACAACGAACAGCCGCACACTGGACCACGCAATCTCAAACCATGATTTATAAATACAAGACCATGACGTCACTGCCCAAATATGAGGTCTTACTTACACCCAAATGTGGTCAAAAATGCAAATTTTAGAGGGTTACGCAGAATTTGATAACCTGAGAAAATTGAGCGGTTGTCATACATTCTCTCTAACGGCTACCGCTGAAATTGGGCCCGATACAAACTATTACAAGTTTGTGTTCGTTACGGCCAGATTTTGGCCGTAACGCTGATTGGCTGTTAGGACAATCCCACAAGTTCTGATTGGCTGTCGGAAACGCCGGAAGTTGAAAGCGCTTATTCCTCGCGTGGTTGTTTTCGTGAATGATCCGTCGTCGGTGGAGAGAAGGATCGATTTGGCTGTCTTTTTTATTGTTTTATGGTCTTATGGTAGGAAAATATGCCTTAATATGTGCCATGGAAATTCAGAAAATTCATGTGGTTGTTCATATCTTCTCAGGATTTGCTTTATTTACGGAAAGTGTATCGCGGAGTTGAATCCCTCTGTAAGTTGTTGACCGCTAACAAGGTGCATTTTGATTTATCTTAAAACTGGTTTCATTTGAAAGTTTAGCCGGGAATGACTTCTCTGAACGGGGTACGCACGTGGAGGCTCACTGCGAAAGAAACCTCAATCGCCAACTGTAAAGTATTAGACGAAAAATATCGCATCGCTGTTCAAGGAATTTTCAGTGTTCACAGACTGGTTGTTTGACTACGCTTTTTGTTAAAAATAAACCAAGAAAACTGGTGTCCTCGCTCGTTGGCTCTTTGCTTTTGTTTTTAAAGATTTATGTACTGAAAATCGGGGGAAATTGCCGAGGAAAATATCAAGACAACGGAAAAATAGAGATTTCAGTATTTTAAATTCCAGAGCGCCTAGCCAAAATAATAAAACAAGTAGAACATCGTGTCGCCGTCTTTTCGAAAACTTTTGACCTTCTACGCCAACAGAAGTAACCTTCGAGATCTCCCTTAATGTCGCAAGAAGTTAAATGTGATTGTGCTGACTGTTTTATTTTTAGCTGAAAAAATTAACAGATAAAAGCTATTTTTTAAGTCAGCCAGTCTGCATTTTTCCCACGCGTGAAAAATTTGCATACTAGAAAAACAAGCAACGGAAGTAATTCTGATTGACTGATTCGGCAAATGTCAATCAATCAAAAAAGTGGGCGGCAGACATTTCGTTAAAGGTTTCTATCAGGCTCTCTTTTCGTTTCGCCTTGCCCACCGGAATGTAATTTTCGAAGCGAAACGAAAATAGACCCTGATCTCAGGTTAAGAATTTGAGGGTTTTGCCCACATTGCGCGGCGTTATAATCTGCCGCCGAGTCAACCTCGCTTCTTAGCTCGGTTGCCTCGTTGGCAAAAATGTAAAAAATCCTAAGAAACAAAAAAATCAAAAGTCTAAAAGTCCTTAGAATCGAAAAAAAATTGAAGGTCTAAAAAATATGCTTGTCGAAAAAGATGGGTCTTAAGCTTAGCTTTCAAGATAGAGACAGACGCGCTGCTTTTAATCTCAAATGGAAGCGGGTTCCAGAGGTAAGGCGCGCACACTGAGAAAGCCCTCAAGCCAATCAATTTGAGCTTGTGCGTAGGCTGCTCCAAAGCGTTTGATTCACTCCATCCACCACTACTATTGAGTAACCTCAACGCCTACGGCTTTGGGAGCAGTACAGTTCGGCTTCTGGAGAGTTATCTGTGTGATCGCAATTACCGGGTGAAGATTGGGGACCTTGTCAGTTCAAGTAGGTCTGTTAACCGAGGCTGTCCACAGGGTTCCGCTCTAGGTCCCTTACTTTGGAATATATTCCAGAACGATTTGTCGTACTGTGTAACAACTAACTTGTCTATGTACGGACGATCATCAGATCTATCACACAGGACAGGATCAGTCCTCTGTTATGTTAATGCTAAAGGAAAGTGCACAGCAAGCCACTAATTGGTGCAACTCAAATCTTCTAGCCGGAACTTGAAGAAATATCAAACTATGAACATCGGACATGGCCAAAGCGATAATAACACCACTCAAGTGATCAGATTAAACAATCATGATATTAGTATAACTGACTCTCTCAAATTGTTGGGTGTCACAATAGATTCTAAGCTGAATTTTTCAGAGCACATTAACATGATCTGTAAAATTGCCGGTAAGAAAATTGGCGTCCTTATGAGACTTAGAAACTTGATTCCGACGAATGCTAAACTTATGCTTTTCAAAACAGCAATATTGCCGCACCTTACATATTGCCACCTTGTGTGGCACTTTTGCCGAGCCAGTGATTCTCGTAAAATCGAGCGGATGCAAGAAAGGGGCCTGCGTGCTGTTTTGAGGAACAATGTTAGCTACCCTGAACTTCTAAAAAGAGCAGAACTGCCAAGTTTACAGAACAGGAGACTACAAGACATTTGTGTTTTAATGTATAAAGCCAAGAACAATCTATGTCCCCCCTATATCAGTAAGTATAACTTAAGGCAGTCTGATTTCCCCGCTGCCAGGTACAACACGGTAACATATGGCAAACACTCCCTTCGCCACTTGGGGCCCAATCTCTGGGGAAAATTATCTCCAGACTTGAGAGAAGTTACCACCTTAAAATGCTTCAGAAACAAAATACGTACATTAGATATAGTAACACTAATGGATAATGGATGCAAGTGTTGTCATCTCTGCAATTCAAAGACATAATTGTCATACTGTAAATATTGTAAATGTCATTAATTTTTTTATACCTGCGCTTATATGTAAATACTTTAATTTATATTTATATTTATATTTATTTATTTTGTGTCCCCTAATTAGCATAGGTTTTTAACCTAAGCTAGGAGGCTTCTTTAGACACCTTAATAAAGTTTCATCATCATCATCATCATCATCATCATCAGTAGAAGTTGGTCAGCAGACCTAACTGTTGCGGAATTCTTTTAACCCCGCTCCGCTGGTTCAAACAAATCAAGAGGACTGTATCTTTCGATGTAACGACACGATTTAATGCAATCCAACAATCTACTGCAATGTACAATTCTCACATATTCAACGTTCGTAACACTACGATCAACGTAACTAAACGATCAACGATCAACGATCAACTAAAACATTCTAAGTATACAGTGGTTTTGCTACTATCCTTGGGTAAGGCAGTATTTTTACATTAATCACATGTACAGTAAAAGTTCCCATTGTAATGTATCTAAATTAAGTGTCTATTACAAAATCGCACGTTCTTTCACCTTATTTAGCCTAAGAAAATGCATGCAGTTACATCATTTTATATCGTAAATATACTCGGACTTTGTCTACATTATTGTGAAATCTAATGTCACGAAATCTAACTTCTTTGCGCTACAAATATCAATTTCTAATTAATGTTTAATCACAAAATAATCAAGTTAAGCATCACCTATTTCTTTCCCGACACTAACAGCTCGCCTAGGAACATAAGGACTGATGAGCTCAGTCAGTTACGTTGGAGTCGCACCATGGAGTGCCTCAAAGGAGTACAATAAGATCTTAAAAACAACACGCTGACGGACGGGGAGCCAGTGTAGCTCAATAAGTAGTGGTGTGACATGATCAAACTTTCGCTTCGATCACTTTAGCCGCGGCGTTCATAACATAACATGCTACAGTGCCAATGATCATATTTCGAGCTTGGGTCACCTGTGTTTAAGGCAGCAAATATAATATAACGAGGAGAGGAAGATGCATATTGCTCCATGTCACAAACATGCGTTGGAGCATTTTTCTCTGCCCCACGCCTTTGAAATGATGTTTTTCACATTGTTTTTCACGTTGCAGCAACGAAATGAAATGATTGCTCACCTCAAGGATCAACTTCAAGAAATGAAAGCTAAAACCAGCATGGAAGGAAAATACATCAAGAAAGATGCAGAGGTATTGTTATTACTGGGTGTGTTTACCCATAAACAAAATGCTCCTGTCGAGTTAGGAATGAGATATCAAAATAACTTTATGAAGGAGCAACAACCATAATAACTTTTGGTTTCTGGGAAACTGCCCACCTACCCCTTCCATAAGGTAACATGAACACTTACTTTTCACTTATGGCAAAGTGTTGGCTTAGGGGAGTGGTAGGTGGATATGGAAACAATAATGATCCAAATTTTGGTGATTTTTAAAGGCATAGCATTAGAACTTGAAAAAGTTGTTCCAACTTTGTCAAGTTTCAATCCATGTCCATCTTTGGCATCGATTGCAACTGACAACAGGAAACTGTTTCATTGCCTAATATAGTCTTAAACTGGATCTGAAACTGGATCATTATGTTTGGAAATCAATTGATGCAAAAAAAGGTTTTAGCTTTGTTAAAAGATAGCAAATAGCGTGCTAAGCCCCTATAAATTCCACTTTGATTAACGTTTGCAATAAATTTCTGAAAAACTGCCGCTTTGGAACTGCGCTACCGTTCACTAATTTAAAAGACTTGGTTGTTAGTCTTTTAGAGGCAAACAACTTTTGACTTTCTGTTACGTAAGCCACAAGGACCCTAATCTTTATGTAGGAAGTATTCCGTCTTCACTGTAGCAGGTTTTGTCCATTAATAAACTAAGTTGTAGTTTTTTGGTTGGAGCACGTGCATCACGTACTAAGAAAAGTGCGCTGCTCGTTTACCCGGGCGATTTTTCGAGCGACTTTTGCCGCGATTTCTTGGCGATGTTCCTTTCTTTATGCGGCTGCTACTTCTTGCAAAGATTGCCAAAAAGCTGTGATAGATTTTAACGTTGTGCGAAATAGGAAAAAATCAACAACAAGCAAAAAATCAAAAACAAAAAAATGTAGGTGGAAAAGTTATAAACGTACTAAGGTCGCTGAATGTGCAATGCTGGGATATTTCATTTTGGTTTACCCCCTGTCTTTAGGTTCGTGTAAGCTGCACGCAAAAGCGATGCCAGCAAGGAGAAAATACGTTGAAGGAGGATCTTGAGGTGAGCTTGGGGGGTGGGTACACTTTAGATGGGGTTATTGCGTTATTGCTTCTGTTGTAGGAACGTTTTGGTATGCACTGTCCTTATCAAGTATAGTCTAGAGGGTTAATTACTATGTAGCAATCCTCTGATTCAGTGGCTTGATCATGTCGCTGTTCTTGTTGCAGACGTTGCGCTATAAAATGGAAGAAGAAGTGCGGGTTAATGCAGAGATCGAAACATACTTACGACGGCATCACCAGGTAAGAGAAGCCATGTTTCACAACATTTCAGCTCATTAGTATACGGATATCAATAAGGGACAGGTAAAATATAGGACCTAAAAAAAGGGTATCAGTAGAGATACAGTTATTGGTATCTAACACATCACTTGAGTTTTACTAGTTCTGCCTGTATTAAAAGTAAATCAAATGGCAAAGGTTGTTATATCATAATTCTTGTAGATATCGGAAGAAAAAGTTGAATATTGGATGAAAAAATACGACCGTGATATGGAAAAAAAACAGCGCGAGCTGGATAAATTGAAGGTTTGTATCTCGTATTTTATGCTTGTGTCAAAGCCGAGCGCGCGCGCGAGCGCACTCTTTACCCTCCCCCACCCCCCATAGCGCTCGCTATGCTAGCAATAGACCATTTGCGAGTTGACCCAAGCCTCTTTCCCAAAGCGAGGCGAAATGCGAAGCCATTGATATGAAAATGAGTTTTTATTCTCATGCAAATAAAACTCATTTTCCCCAGAACAAAGGTTTTGCACTTAGCCTCACTTTGACAGTGAGAGTGTTTGGAACTCGGAAATGGCCAATTGGTGGCGTTCCTTTGGAGAGTTAGTACTACCGAGGACAGAGTGCTAGCATCTAAAATAGATGTTAAGGCTATTCTAATTGTTCTTTTTGTAGGCTTGTAAGGCGAATGACCTCGCCAGACTTCAGGAGCTCACACAACAGGTAAGAAAACCTTCCACAACAATTGTACAGGAAATTATTCGACTGTTAGTCATACCCTACGGAAGGTACTGGGCATTGCGTTTCTATAATGCGCTTTATTATGTTGTACAGGGTGTTTTTAACTTTTGAGTTTGGGGCGTGACATTTTGAGGGTTGTTTTTTTGACATAAATGTTATTGACCATTTGTACAATTTGCCCCCGGGGGGGGGGGGGGTGTACTTACTTACAAGAGGCTAATGGGGATGTGCCACTGGTTGGGGTCGCATTTTCACGCCTGGATTGACTACAATGGGGTCGCATTTTCAATAGAAAGACTAGAATGGTGTCACATATTTTCTGATTTTTGGGGTAAGACAGTTCTTCATATTTACGGTTAGCAAACGTACCAGGATGTTTGTACTGTAGATGAGAATTAAAGTGTTCTTCATTGAATATAAGGAAGATACATAAATAGAAAGTGACTAAGTTAGGATAACGAAAATTACACATTTGTCCAAAAGTGACTAAGATGGGGTGTATAACTGGCCTCAGAATAGACTATAATGGGACAGGGGCTCAAAGAGGCCAGCGGCACATACCCAGCAAAAATGAACCCAAGTACCCCCCTCCCTCGCCCCCAGGAATTTGCCGTGGTACCACGTCTTCCTGATTCCTGGTGGAATTGGAATTTGGAAATGTTGGTTTTAGAGGAGAGGGGGAAACCGGAGCAAAGGAGAGAACCAACGACAAGCTCAACCCACATATGGCGTCGATCCCTACTCTCACCACTGCGACACCCTTGATCCCCACCCTTCTTGTTTGCAACCAAGTGACAAGGCGGCAATGTTGGATGTCAAAAAAAGAATTTTTCACGAAGAATTTACATGAAAATAGAGTTAAGTTCCAAGAGGAGACAAATGCTTTTGTTCTTGACCACCACCATGGCCGCCGTGACGTCACGTGCAAACCAGCAATTGCTCTTGTTTACTTTGTGAGTCGTTTCCTGATAAATGGACGTTTTTACTTTTGTTTTTACTTGAACAGTACTCTGAATACGAGAAAGTTGTGATAGAAGATCGTGTTGCCAAGGAGCAGAAGAGAAGAGAAGCTGAGCAACAGGAGGAGGAGCTCAAAGCTGCTACAAAGGTAGGATTTCGGGTCAGCGCAACAGTTGAGAGGGAGGGGCGTTAGGAGGTTACAATCCTACCCTTCCTCTCCCCTCTAATTAATGTTACCTTGAGTATACCTTAAACAAAATGAAAAGTCATTCTAGGTAAAAAAACGGAACTACTACTTGCGAATGCGTCCAACATTATCGTGAAAGCAGATCAAACGTGGCTTACTTGTTGCCTCGTACTTGATCACATACGGGAACAACACAGAAGGCAGCAAACGTTTGAAATCATGCGGACCATATCCAAAAACATCCAGTAAACATATTGCACCTAACAACATGAGATTAAGTTGGACCAACAAGTCGGGGGTTTATCAATGGGGCTTTAACTAAGAAACTTTGCTCCACTTCTCCTTTTACCTGTTCAAACATTGGATAGCGCTATCCAGCGGATTACTATAAGGGAAAATAGTTGTACTATCCACTGAATAGAGATTTATCCGGTGGATAGCTCAATCCACTACATAAATCTTTATTCCACTGGATAATGCAATTGCCCGGGGGGATACTTGGGTTAATGTTTGCTGGGTATGTGCCGCTGGCCTCTCAGAGCCCCTACCCCATTATAGTCTATTTTTGGCCAATTATTGACCCCATCTCTTTGGAAAATGAAATTTTCGCGATCCCAACTTAGTCACTTTCTATTTATGCATCTCCCTTATCAATGTGGTTTCAAGAGGCGGAATGTAATGCGGTCAATGTGAGCTTATTGTTAAATTTAATAAACAACAACTTTCTGATTCTTTAACCGAGAATCTTCGCATTTTGAATCCCTACTTACCCCAAAAATCCGAAAATTTGCGACGCCATTCTAGTAACTCTATTGAAAATGCGACCCCATTATAGTCAATCCAGTTGTGAAAATGCGACCCCATCCAGCGGCACATCCCCATTAGCCTCTTGTAAGGGAGTACCCCCCCCCACCCGGGCGCAATTGGTTTCCCTGATACTTATCCACTGGATAGAGATTTATTTAGTGGAAAGCACTATTCACCTTTTGAACAACCCGCGCCTGCGGTGTTAATAGTTACGAAGGACAAACTGCTGAGGTAAACCTGCAATACTGGACAGAATTTCCAGCGTTCAAATTGTCATCGAGTAAAACCGTCTAATTTGTACCACGTCTTGTTTTCAGTTGCAATTTTGGTGGCGACGAACCATGGAGCGAAAGCAGCTAGGACCGTACAGCAAGAAAAAGAAGAAGAAGGGAAAGAAAGGCAAGAAATCGGGGAAAAAAGGCGGTGGAAAGAACAAGAAGAAGTAACTGAATGAACGCCTCTTAACGGCCTTGCTAACTTTTGTACAGAGGCAATCCATTGTAACATGACAATCAAAATAGTGTAAATATTGAATAAAATTTTGATTTGTAACCAAAATGCGTTTGATAAAATGCTTTTGTTTGCCCTCTCCTTCAAGAATGATAAGTTATTGGTAGGTGAATGTGGTTGCACAGTACATCATGCTGTTCTGAACCAGGAGGTTTCGTGAGTTAAGTCCCGGGAGGAGGAGGAGGAGGAGGAGGAGGGGGAGAAGGAGGAGGGGAAGGAGGAGGAGGGGGAGGGGGGGAAGAGGGGTATTTCCTTTTATGGCCTATACGGGGAGGCTCCGCCCGGAAGGGGTACCTTTTTCAGCCTTTGGGTTTGTGAAAGGGTGGGGATTCAGTAGTTGACGTATATGAAAGGGAAGCAAAACCTTCATTTCGGTCTGTAAAATGACCTTAAAGGGCCAAAGAGGGACTTCATGGCTGTAAAAAAGTCGAGAAACTTTTCTGGTTTGGTGATTTATTGACATTAATTTAAAAAACAGTGCATTTACAGCAGTTAAAATGGATGCAAGGAAGGTATACGAAAGGGCTACCTTTTCTGTCAAAAATAGTACATAAAAGGGTAAGGGATGGGACCTCGGGGCGAAGCCTCTCCGAATAAAACTTTCTTGAGTACCCCCTCGGGGAGTTCAGGTTTCGTTCCAAATTCTCGTTGGCTTTCGCGGGAGAAGAGGAAACACGTAAGGCTTTGCCGCTCACTTGTCGTCGTCACCTGGAGAGAGGTTGCTGTGAAGCCCACGAATATTCCGTGACTATACACGAATATTCATTTCAAACATCTCATAATTCTTTGGTGTTTTACATATTAAAAAATTACACCAGACTTCATTTGTTAAATTACCAAAACAGTGAAACTTTTTGAACGTCCTCCCGAAAGGTTTCATTGCAACAGTTGTGAGGATTTCATCAACAGACTCAGAGGTTAGAACCGCCTTGTACAGTATAATAAACAGTACCACAGTAAATTACTGTTGATCTGTTCACTCTCCCGATATAAATAGAAGGGATATTGGTTTATTTTGACCAAGAAATAGCCATTATTAGAAGAAAATCCTCAACTACACTAAAACCTTGTGTTTGACATTATGAAGCCGAAGCGTATCGGAGGATCGGACGAAGCCCTGGGACCGAGTATACCACGCAGTCACGCTAAAGAGGGGAACTCGTGACAAAAGAAACCCAGAGTATATTTTTTGAATATTTAAAAATATTCACAATTTAAAAACATGTTTAAACGAAACCTTGCTTAGTCATCACAAAAACAATACCCCAAACAAAACGATATCGATACGAAAATAGCACGCCCACGATGTTCAAGTACCCTTGGACTAGAGAAATTTACAGGATTACTCGAGTAGCTATTTTCTCTGATTATATAATGTTTTTTAAAACTTCCGAAATGGAAAGTGGTTTGTTTTCCCCGATTTTCTTGCGAAAATTCGAGAATCTAAATAACTCACCAACAACCGATAAAAATAACTCTGGGTTTGGAATTACCCTTTCGAAAATGAAAGTATGTTTTGAAGTAAACAACAATGCATTGGCATATACAATTTATTGTGTAACATACCGTATACACGACATGAACTGTTGCGTTACAATAGTCCATTCTTAGAAGTTTTACCGGCAGATTCATGGACAGCATTCGTAGAAATCAGATGATAACTGCCGATTTGCCAGTTCATGTAAGTTTACCAGGTATTTGGCAGTCTTTCACATCGATATGCCCCAAAAGGAGAAATAAAATTGATAACTTTTCACCGTATGAATGTCAAATTTGTTGGATCAATATATTCGCGATAACATCGCAAAACAATCACAATAAAACGGCCTTTGTGTTTTTTTTAAAGTCCCAACCTCCTCTCAAGATCAGCAACGAACGCCTTGTAAGAATAGCACTCGGCTTCTTCGCTTCATTAATGCTTTTCTTTGGCTACGAAAAATGTTTTTGTATTTTGATCTTTCATATTTTGATGCTTATTCAAAACAAGTGATGTATTGGGCGAAGAAAGGGAAAAACCCTCAACTCGAACGCAGATAAATTTCTATATAACAACCAGCAATTAATTCTGTGACGCGTAGGTTTGTTATTGAAAAACTGAAGCCCCCCCAAAATTACTCGCCCGGACAAGTTTTGCTTACCGTGCAAAAAAGGAAATAAGGGGAAATTTTAGTTTTGATACGAAAATTTTGGCTGTTAAAAGTAGATTTACGCACAACGTTGATAAAGTTTTTCTTTCCTTAGCGTGATTCAGATTTTGTAAAGAAGTACTTGATGCATAAAAATGTAGACATTCGAAACCTCTTAAAAGGAGCGATACTGCCGAATGATAGAAATGTGAGATCATTATGGAAAAGTAATTATTGTGAAATTCTAGATTGCAGTGACTTTCTTTAAAGGTTACCGATGAATTTATATTACGTATATTATGGGAATTATAATTGCTTTGCTCGGTGTCTATTTCAGTATTAATAAGGATTGAAATTTTATAAAACTGCACGCTTCTAATTAGGAATTCATTTTCCCTGAATTTTGCTGATGGTAAAGGGAATTTTTTCTTTAATGATTGTGCATTTTTTCATGCAAATCAAAAATGTGATCAATAAAGGTTATATTTGTTCCTATAACATAAAACCGCTACGTACAGTGATTTATCAATATAGTTAAGTACAAAATAGTAAACAAGACGAATAAAGCAAGAAAAAAGCCAATCGTGAAACGTAAACCACTTTATTTAAGAACACACCATACTTTACAGATATGTGTTTAACTTAAAAACGTTGCCGAACGCAAGCTTTTTAAGAAAAAAAACAAACGTAACTCAAGACAAAAAGGATGAATTACGTCATTCATGCCGACTTAAAAAGTCCCGCGCGCTTGCTACCAATTCATAGATACTGTTTCTTGATGACAAGTTGAATATAACAAAATACTTCTCTCTTTACGATAACTTGTGGCAGATGTTGAATATTTTTAACGAGTGCGAAAGTTTAGGTAATTGACCATAACAAATTATGTGAGGTTTTCATTTTCGACTCGTTTCCTCTGAGTTTGCTCTAGGATGGCTGATCTGCATGTCAACAGCAAAAAATGTTTTACTCGGTTAAGGGAAAAACGTCCTCTTGACCTGGCAGAGCTGTCTATTTTCAGATAACTTTATCCTTGATCGTAGGATCCTAATTCAGCATCTCAACTTGGATGTCTTGTTTGTTCGTCATTCTGAAAGTAAATACATAACGATGTTAGATGTTGTGTTGAGAATATATTAAATGAAAGTCAAGAGAAAATGGCGCCAGAGAAATGTTTAGGATAAGGAAAAAAATAAATAACATTTTCGCCGATTATAATACAAGATACACTAGACAATTCATAGAATATGCAATCACAACGAAATACAATAATATATGCAAAAAGGTATGAACGAAGCAAGAGAAATATTTTCAAGTAAACGATACAGCAAAATGCAAATCACTCAAGATAAAATTTCGCTGTGTATGAGTGAGCAACTACTGAGAAAGACACGATCAAATAAAAAATACAAATCGAGTATAAAGTCAAACGGTACCTGAGGAATCTTCTTCGTCGTCGTTTACTTCTTCGAAGGAAAATTTCGGTTCTTGGTCCGCATCTTTCTTCGCTACGTGTTCTTCTGGGGAGAGGGATAAATTCGATTTAGTACATGACCACAAGATAAAACGCGAGAGGAAACTTTAAAGACAACAGGCCTAAAATCTTACCACTGTTGAACGGCGCGTCGCGGCTTTGGTTTGCCCTTGGTCCGGTTAACAGGCAAGCGAATGAAAAGGCTATAGCCTGGTATTTCTCGTCTTCAGGCTTTCCCTCTAACAGCTTCTTAACAATGGGATCCATCACGTTCTGTTTTACGAGCGAGAATGGCGATTCACTAACGGAACCAAAATTTAAACGCTGAGTAGCAGGGAAAATTCCCAGACAGATGAAAACTTGCGTGAGGCTTTTTGTGGTTTTGAAAGTGCTTGAGGCAAAACGCAAGGGAAAAAGCCCTGCCAATAGACAATAAAACCAGCAGATGGGCACGTCCAATCAGGTTGCTTTACAAAGCATGGGTGGTTTTCCTTATAAGGGTATTTTTTAGCTTGATATAGCATCCAATCACCTCGCGCCAACTAATGAAGCTCGGGTGAAAACGTGCTTGAAACTGAAAAACATCGCAGCAGGAAAACAAACAGGGAGTAATTAACAAGCACGAAAGCTGAAACGCTACGAAACTGAATTTAATAAAAAAATTACTAACTTTCTTAGTAAAGTGCGCAACGCTATTTTAGACTCACAACGGGCGCAAAAGGCGATGAATTTTGCTAAAAAGTCATTTCGTGATAATCAGTACAGACAGTGCTTTCAAAACATCCTGTTATGTCGGTGAGTCAAAGCTGCCCAAAGCAATGTTTGTCGCTATAGTCAACAGACTGAAACAAACAGTTTGACAGCTTGCCAATGAATTAAGAAAAGTGCTTGCAAAGCAACGCGCTAAGATGCTATTAGAGCAGTCATTAGATCGCGTCGTATCTCTTAGAACGTCTTTGGCGCATTTTCAAACAAAACATACCACACCATGCGACCAAAGGTAATCAATATTTCATTGCGGGAGATGGAAACGGGCACTTGAAATAAATTGCCAAGGATTAGAACCAACTAGAATGTGTCGATGATTGGCAGCCGAACAAAAGAGTAGCCCTCGCCGAGAAAAGCAACAAAGACAATCTTCGATCTACAAGGCAACAACTTTAATGAAAGGTTTAGTGACCATATTCGCGCATCACGATTTTAAATATGTGCGCTACCCGCGCTCTTCGCCACGATCGCTGGAGAAAGATTTGCCGATTGTCGTTAGAATATTGATCGTTCAAGTGTTTGATCACAAGGGAAAGCCAACTGGATAATTTTTTTTCCCCGCAACTCC